AATTTTATAGAGCTTAGTATTCTATTTCTGAAATAGTTGTGGAAGTGTAGTATGGAATTTATATTCTATGAGATCAACTCCAACAGCATAGGGGCCAGTTTGGAAAAATGTTGATAATTGTTAAATCTGGGGGAATATATGTGGGAATATTTACTTTGTTTTCTAGAAGTTTATTAGGATATTTGAAAATATTCACAGGGGAAAAATTATTTAATGATGAAATGACCTCACCATCTGCTAATTAATCTCTTTTCCTCCTGAATCTACTTATATTTCCAGCCTTTGCAACTCTAGATGACCATGAGTAATAAGTATCAATTGTGCAGAAGAACAAATCCTTTTATTCTTCCCCAAACAAGCTCTTTCAGGTTTCAGGGGTATTCCAGGTTATGGTTTTCTGGGAATTAGCCAACGAGTCTTTGTTCACCTTACTCACACTCTTCATATTTTTATAGACACTTCATTGTATTCCTTCTTAGTGCTAATCTTTCTGCAGGAGAAATAGTAATCCTTTTAATCTCCCCCTGCTAAGTTATTGAAGTTGCCCTTCTCTGGACCTTTCTCAGCTCCGCTCTGACTTTCTTGAGCCGCAGTGACCAGAACTGATCCACACAGGTTACACACAAGCATAAGTGACAACCAAAAACAGAATTTCAATGAAGGAACTATGGGAAGCAAAGAGAAAATTGGAAGTTAGCACTAAGAGAGCACATTGAAAAAAAAAAAGAGAGAGAGAGAGATCACATTGAGAAGCATGCATAGTGTTAAAAAATAAAAGTCATGTGAGAAGAAAAAATGAAAATTAACCTCATTGTAACATTTGACTAAAGAGAGATGGGAAGGAGTTCTTAAAAAGGGTTCGTCCCATTATTTCCAAGCTCCAAACCTGGAGGAGTTTTTACTTCCATTGCATGTAGAATAAAGTCAAACTCATCACCATGGCCAATGATCCGGCGACCCCTCTGTGTCTTTCCCAGTCATGTCTATCTGCTCCCACCTTGATCACCAAGCCGCAGCCACACTGGCCTTCCTGCTACCCATGGAGCACGCCATAACCCACTGAGACTCAATGGCCTTCATCCTTGCAGTATCTTCTCTCTGGACTGTTTTTTTTCCTCCAGATCTCACATGGCTCACTCCTGTACATCGTCAGACCTCTGATCAAATGCCGCTTCCTCAGAGAGGCCTGCCCTGATGAGGTTGTTCCCCATCCTCTCACCTGCTGTACTCATATCATTATCTGAACTTATGTAGTTGCATACCTTTTTCCTTATCAGCATCCCCCATTAGAGTACAAGCTCTAAGGGTGAGGGTGAAAACTCTGAACTGCTAACTGCTGCATCCTCTTCATGCCTAGACTAGTGCTTGACACGATGGGTTGTATGGATGAATGAATGCATGCATGAATGCATTCCATCTAAGAGTAAAAGTTCTAGAACCAGATGGTCTATTTTAACATTCCACCTCTTTCCACTATGTATCCTTGGGCAAGCTATTTAACTTATTATTCTATAGTTTTCTTATTTGTATTATGGGGATAATCATAGTACCCACTCATAGGGTTATCTTGGAAATTGAGTTAATATAGATAAGGTGAGAAGTGTTAACAATAGTCTGTACTCAACAAATATTAGGATGATCATGAGAAAAATGGCAAAAAAGGAAAAAGAGAAGCAATAGTGGAAGCCTTCTTGGGCAGCAGGAATATCTATTAAAAGATTAAGGCAAGTGTGGTGCTCCAGTGATTCTTAACTTCTCTGCATCACTCTGCTTTCAAGGACACAGAATCAATTACAAGGAAAACTTCCTATGGTTGAGGGGGAGGGGGAGTCTCAGAGGTTTTTTTGTGTTGTTTGTTTTGTTTTGAATTTATGAGACATAAGATTATCTCCCAACTGTATTATCTCCCATTTCTCAAAGAAGCACACTTGCATAGAATATATATTTAAACTTTAATAATTGCGTGTGGAACCTGCTTTCTGAAGCTTCTGGATCTGGTACAAGACTATAATACCACTCACACTCTAAAGTTGTTACAAGCAAAGAGGAAAATCGTGACGTTGTGAGTTAGTCACAGCTAGAAGTTCGTATTTCTCAAAGGTTGTTTCACTCTCTACAACAGAGTAAGAGGAGGTTCCTTAAAAAATATCATATTTATTATTGATTTTGAGGGTGTATGATCAGTAATTGGCATAACTGTAAAGTTTTTAGCTTTTTGGTAAAAACAGTCTTCTTTTTTTTTAGAAGTTGACCAGTGTGAAAATCATGTTATTTGTTAAAGCAAGCCCAATTTAATAAATGCAAACCGAGTGGAAACATGCGATCCTCCTAAGAGTTAGAGTTTATGCTCTTCAGTCCAACAGAGCAACAGATGTTGATAATAAGCAAAGAGCTGTCAGGCAAAATGAGGGCAAAAAGGTTCTTGACACATGGTTTGGAAAGTACGGGAAAAAAAACCTGTCCAGATTAGGTGGCAGCTGCATGGACACTGTGTTTTTTTTTTTTTTTTTTTTCTCATTTCTAGCTCGATCTCACTGTTTCCTATACTTGACACTGAAAATAAGAATTATTTCAAGGTCTGGGGGCAACCACTTTCTGAAATATAGCCACCTTGGAGTGAAACATTATTGTGAATAAGAGCACTGCCTGGACACCTCTTAAAGACAACATTATTTTTAAGCAGCAACAGTTCAGTAGGAATGGTATGACTTATAAGATTAGTTAGCTAACATTTGTGTAGCTCTTTATGTGTCCTGTACGGGAAGCCCCAAGTGAGAAATTTCTTGTAAAACAGTGGACTGTGGAGTTTTGTACCACTTGAGAGTATGATTTTTCCCTCTAATGATAATAATTTAAGATATTGTTCATTCATTTTTCTTCCTTTCCCCTTTGGCTACCAAAGCTTACTTGTGGTTTGACTAAGCAAGCACATAGGACCTTATGATCTACTCATTCATGATTCTTTATACTCCTCTGGTTTTGACTTTTTGCTCCAACTAATATTATTTATTGAATTTGAAAATCTCTCAAAATATTATACTATTATTTTAGTATATGTGTTCACTGCCCTAAAGAGGTGGGTTTGACTAAATTAATTAAGTTACATAGTTTTCATAAATATACTTTCACTTGATTGTCATACCAACCTGAGGAAGTATACATTATTATTGTCCACATTTTACAGATAGGGAAACTGAGACCCAAAGACATAAAAAAATCTGTCCAAGATCCAAATACAGTGTAGTTTTCACTGTACCTGGTTGTACTGTCTCATTTCTCTAACAGAAAAATACACCAAGGAGTTATTAATAAATTAACTAACAATCCTGTAAATGAGCTAAAGTGAAATGTTTAAATTGTAAAAGGAAGGAGTTAAGCTGGTAGGTAATCTCCCCCCAAAATTATTTTTTTTAAAGATTTTATTTATTTACTCACAAGAGACACACAGAGAGAGGCAGAGACACAGGCAGAAGGAGAAGCAGGCTCCTCACAGAGAGCCTGATGCAGAACTCGATCCCAGGACCCCAGGATCATGACCTGAGCCGAAAGCAGATGCTCAACCACCGAGCCACCCAGGCGCCCAGACTTCACAATAATTATATGTGATTTCAAAATATAGGCAGCTAGAGAAAGACAGAGAATTTTCTTTGATGAATTTTCTTATTCTATCTCTTTTCTTTTAAAGAAAAAGAAGAGAAAGATAGAATTTAGATAAAAGTTTTGCTTGAAGGTAGGAGAATGGATTAGTTGGCCTATATGAGATGAAAATGCTTTTTCAAAAATCAGCCACCACCAGACCTTACAAACTACTCATTACAGCCCACTCGTATAGGGAGATGGGCTTTGATCTCCTTCCTAAGGTCACACAGAGCTGGCCCCAATCCCAATGTGCTGGCACCCCTGCTGTGCTCACTCCTGCAGTTAGGTGTGTTTCCTGGGATACGAGTCTGTGAAAACAAGCATCGGCCTGGCCTTGAAACACATGCTACAAAAAAAATTTCAAAGTACAATAAGCCAGGATCATCACCAACTTAATTTTCCAGCCCTTTTTTTTAGAGCACAGGATCATTCCTTCTTTATGTCTATGTAAACCAGGAAGGTAGCAGCATTTTGTTCAGCAGCACTAACCAGCTGTGCCTTGCTGATGGCATGATAGACAAAAAAAAAAAAAAAAAAAATCACAAAATGAGAGACGGATCCTCTTCAAATTCAGGTATGATCATAACATGAGTCATTAAGCAACATCACTTATTTATGACATTATTCTATCGTGTCTATGGGATTACGACTTCAACAAAAGGCGCAACATTTCCACACAATTGTTTAAGTACTGAGTTAAAAATGGCTGATGCAAAATTGCCAGTGGCAGATTCTACTGGGATGTCAGGTTCAGGTTCAGAGTTAGGACAATACACTTCCTGCACTCGAGGGAACAGCACATTGTTCTGAGCAGATTTCCCTAAGGATTTTCAGGTCGCTGCAGATAATGGTTGCTCAGCTCAGTGAGGAATGGATCACCTAGACAGTTTTGCTGTGCTTTTGCAAATTTTCAATGTTTCAATAGTCTATACACCTACACGCGATTAATGAGGAGCCATTTGGGAGAAAGAGGTCCATTTGTTGTGTGCCCAACATGCATTGGACATGCATTGACTACATTTCCCTGGGATTACCTAGTTAGCAAGTCTCTAGGCAGGGATTTGAACTCCACACTACCTCATTCCCAGATCCATGCTCTTGCTTCTACACTGTAGTTTCCAGCTTCCTGTTGCCTCAGAGAGGGCGCAGGGCATGCTAGTTCTAAGCATTCTAAAGGTGATGCAAAGGTTATTGATGTCCTGAATTCCCAGGTATTTTATAGTCCTTGAATGTGTTTTATCAGTGGATGCAACCCCTTCCAGGTTGAGCCCCTTGGCCACATGCTGGACAAGCATGGACCATTCCACGGGACAGAGCATTTCGTATCTCTATACTCTTATGAATTGACTTCTTTGACTTGCCTGGTGTGAGGTGGGCGCCTCCTTCAGCTCTTCTTCTAGCTCCACACCAACTCTGTTAAAGAAATCAGAAAGCTGGTTAAGGGCCTTGCTGTAGATACACGAAACCGTTTTGGGTGGCCGGACACCTGAACCAAATATGGTACAAATCAGAGGAAAAGTTTGACAGAAAACCATCCTACCTCTCCCTGAATCCAAAGAACCTCAAATGGATTTATGTCAGAATGAGAACTTGTACAGCTGGGCCTCAGCACTGCCAGTGAGATTGAGCACCACCAGCTGTTCCTCACTGCTGTCTCCTGATTAGAGCAGGAGCCTGAGAACCTGGGATAGGAGCCCTCAAAAAAACAGACCTCCATGGAAAATAGAGATCATGCTAACCTCGTAGAACTCGCTGACCAGACTGCTCTGGGAATGTGGGGGCTCGAGATGGAGTAGGCTCCTGGAGGCAAAAGAAACCCCACTTTTTTGTCCAGATGCTCACTGAGGCTGCCCAGTCGAGACGATCCAGGTTTGCAGGGCCTCAGGCTTAAACAATTTGGGGGGGGGGGCTCTCTTTAAGAGAATTAATACAAAAATACATCTATAAAATTAGGTTTGGAAGTGACTCTTGAGAAAGGAAAAAATAAATTACAAAACGTTTCCTAATTAAAAAAATCTGGCAAATGCAGCAGACATCTCGAAATCCATAAAATAAATAATATTCAGATTCATTAACTGCCTGGCATACTTCTAAAATAACTTTTTCCTCTGTAAGTTTTGCCTGTATACTTTGATGCTTCCTTTATGTGGCAATGATTTTGTACAAGAGAGAATAGGAAGATAAGGTAACCTTTTCTCTAGCATGATCGATCAAAATTATTGATGATTGGGAGGCACTAAAGCATGCCTCCTTACCAGACATGCTCGCTGTGTGCAGTGCTGCTCGAGGTTAATGCCCTGCAAACACAAGATTGCTGATAAACTTCATGTCACGCGAGTCCCATGAACAAAGCGCAGTGTGCTTAGCAGTGTGCATACTGCATCACTGAATATATTCCTGACTTCTGCCTCTGATAGGGCACCAATGAGAATGGAATCCTCCACTCGGAATCTTGCATTTCAAGCCTTGTTTTTCTAACACTACCCACAGACGTCTGAAGCCTGGTGCCATAGGACACATCCACCTTTGATTCAGCCTTGTGGCACTATTTTTGTGAGTCCTCCCTGCACTGGATGGCCAGCCACGACTTGCCCATGCACAGAAGTGACTGCGGACCACACACACTTATCCTACTAAATATAAACTAAATGCATTCCCAGCTCAGCTTCCCTGTAGTCAGATCCCCCAAATGCCCACTCCAGGGCCACTTGACCAGGGGAGAGGTACAACTGAGGGGAAACAGTAGTGGAAAGAAACTGTCATCAAACCCAACTGTGGTTAAAATATATTCCTTCTGCAGATCTTGCAAAAACATAGGACCATGGGATCATGATGCTGGGTCTCTTCCCACGGCCTCGAAAGGGCCAGAGCAATTGAGGGGCCTGAAGCTTGAATTTCCTCTGCTCCAGAGAGTGGGCCTCTGACTGTTGTGGGGGTAGGCTGGGGGGACTGGAGGGGGCGGGGCGGGGAGGCACAGCTCAGAACCTCAGACACCTGGCTCAAGCTCTCCAGAGCCTTTCCTGTGAACACCGCAGTTCCTAGAGCTTTAGGGTCTTCCCTTTAACTCCCCCGTAAAGACTCCTTTGGTCCCCTTGCAGTCCTGTTCTCCAGGTGGGGGAGGGGAAAGCAGGGTCAGAAGCCACCAGTTGGCAGACAGCTGGCCTGTGAAAGGAAAGTGGTGCAGAGACAGCTTGTTTAAAATACCTCCGATACTTCAAAAATCAGTATCTTCTGGGCATGAATAGCCTCTTCTTTCTAACCCAGGGGGTGAAATGGGTAGCTATTTATTGTATGTGGAACTGAGAAGAGCCTCTGGTGGGGACTCACTTTTGATTTTCTCTGAGTAGAAAGAGCCATTTGATCTATTTGAAGTCAGAGAGAGAGAAGGAAGGTGGGAGGGAAAGGGGTCAGGGGGGAGAGAGAAGGAGGGGTGAGGAGAGAGACAAAGGGAGAGGGGAGAGTCACCCTGTGGCCTCATGGATAAGGCATTGGCCTCCTAAAGTGAGAAGGGAGGAAGGAGGCAGTGCAAGGAGAGGGCAGGGGAGGGGGGAGAGAGAAGTCCAGGAGGAGCCCAGCAGGCCAAGGGGCTAAGGGTGGAAGGCTAGAGGAGGAGGGAGAGGGAGGACATGAGGGAGGGGTAGGGGAGAGAGAGAGTGGAGGGCGGGTTCAGGCCCAGCCTCCCAAGGCAGGTCCAGGCCGTGACTGTGAACAGTGAGGCACGAGTGTGGGGACACCCTGGCCCTCTCTCTCATGAGGCTGGGTCATGTTCAAGGCTCTGCAGGGCCTGAGCTCCATGGCTGATGCTGGGAGCCTCCAGGAGCCTTTATTTCTCCATAAGCCCAGATCCCCCGTCTCCCCGTGCCCCTCCCCAGAGGGCTCCCTGGCACCTGTTGAGCTGTGAATGGAACCCCGGGGCCTTCCTGCTGCTGCATCTGTTTAGGGCCTCTTTCAGGTTCCCTGTCTAGAGAACCGGAAAGAACAGAAAATCGAATTTCACAAGAAACCCCATATTGAAGGTTTGAGGCAGTACTGAGGTTTTCCGCGAAAATTTGAGCTTTCCTTTCCAGCAGCAATCAAAGCAGACATTTCTAGTTTCAATTATTCCAGCAGCCAGATGGAGCTGAGGAATGATGGTTGTGGATTAAGTTCTTCAGTTTTATGGGGGACTCAGTGAAGAGGCCCGCAGAGGCCTGAGAAATGCTGTTCTACTGGGAGCAAGAACAACGCCTCCTCCCTGCTTCCGTTTCATGGAAGGTCAGGGTCTGCTCCTGGGACCGGGCCCGTAGCCCTTCTTGGCTTGGAGCAGACTAAGCATCTCGAGTGGCTTGAGGAAAGAGAAACTCCATAGAAGTTACTTCCCTCCTGGGGCAGCTGGGGTGAGCAGAACACATGCGGTTCCTGCCCTCACAGAGCATGCAGTTTGGCAGATTGAATTAGAAAAACCTAAAACATTTACTGTCACAAGAACAATGCCTTCTTTTACTTGTGATTTTTAGCTCCTTTTGATAAAAATCTTGCTAAATTATATTACCTGGCTCCTTGCCTCCTTAAACAGGGAGTGATGGGGATACTCAGATCTTTACTGGAGGTCTCAGCATCACCACTGGCCCCATAAAGTCTAACACTCGCTGTGTTATAATGATTTCCAAGTGCTATATGAACCCCTTTATGCCCAAGTTAAATGGTCCCTGGCTACTATTCTTTCTCTTTTTAAAATTCTTATCATCTGCCAGTTAGATTGCTCTGATTTCCTGCCTGCAACCGTACATTCGCAGATGAGCTCTGTGCTCCCTCCTACCTTTTAATTCAGCACAGAACTGATTACCTGATGGTCAAATTTAATACATTTTTTCAAGTTTATAATGCACAGACATAGACACAGACACAGTAAAACAATAAATTTGAAACATTATAGAAGTTCTTACAAGTAAAACACAGTTGTTGTCTGCCCTACTCTCTGCCCTACTTCCCCAGACTAACTCCCCATTGCTTCCGAGGGCAATTTTCTACCTTTTCTCTATTGTGGCGTATAAACTGACATCAGCATGGCACCTTCACACAGCATCCCCAGGGTTAAGCAAACATGCCAGCTGCCTCTGTACCTCTTATTCTTCTGTTCAAGAAAGCAAGTCAGAGTGTGAAAGTGGCATTCTCTTAGGGTTAACCTTGAATCCACTCACTCTTAGGTATGAAAGATCATTTACACACTATGGGTTTTGAGAGATGAATGGAAAGAAGACACGATGTCACACAGCTTGTGGTGCCATGTGTGTTCGCAGCGGCTCCCCAGGTAAGAGATCACAGGTGTATGGGACGAAGTCCAACCTCCTTAGGTGATATCCAAGGCTCTTTTGCACCGTTCCTGTGGTGTTAAGCTACCCTTTCTGTTCATCTGATCTGGACACCGCGCCCCAGGGGTGTTAACTGGACCTGTCTTTAGTTCCGAGCCCTATTACTCAATAGGATCCTGGAGCTGTAGCCCTACCCAGATCTGCCAATGCCTCTCCCATTGACTGAATCCTCTCCCTCCAAACTGCAGCATGGCCACCATCGGGTATCTCTGGTGCACCACCTCCTTTCCTGAACTTTCCACTACTGTCCCTCCCCTTCTGATCACCACCATGGACCATCCATCTTATTGCCCTACATTGGTTTGGATCCCCCATCACATAATGTTTTTGCTGACTTGGACTCTAAGTAGCTGTATATCTCCAACTCTGTTTTCTGTTTCCAGACCAAACCCTTTCTCTGGCACCTGTGATCACCTTGCTCTGACTATGGCAACTCTGGCCCAACCTGTGTTCACCTGTCTGGTTATATGCAGCCATACAGGCCAAGCCAGTGCTCTTCATGATATACTGGCCCTAGCTGGAAACCCAGGACTCACAACTACCCTATCGTTGTTGAAGTATCAGTGAAACACAGCTCTTCAGAGTCTCTCACTGCTGTGTGATCTGCATCACTCACTGTGCTCCCTTTTCCTCATTAGCACAATGGCCATAATAACAGAACATGCTCCCCAGGGTTCTGGTAAAGGTTATATGGGAAAATACTTATAAAAGTGGTTAGCTTAGGACCTGGTACCTAGTAAGCTCTCAAGAAATGTTAGCAGCCATTGTCCCTGTTATTATTTTTATTATTATCAGTACTTAAAAAGATTCGTTGGGGCCAATGCTCACTACCATGCTCACTGGTAACTAATTTCAAGATCAGCCCTCCTAGTCCCCAGCTGTGCAATGGACAATCCTTGAAAGTATAGGAATACCTACAGTTAAGCACAGTGAGTGGCCAGTGCACATCAGGGATTTCATAGTAAAACATCATTTCTATTTAAGGAGAGCCAAATTTCCCAGATTGGAATTTATTCCAAACTTCCTGGCGGGCTGGTGGAGTAAGAGGGCAATGAAAAAGGA